AATAGCAATTAATTTATTCACTGACATTCTGGGCAGGCACTCACATTCACTTGTTTAGTTCTACATCCTTTGGTGAGGAAGTGGGAAGAAACTGAGTGAATGATGTGTAGTTTCCTTTCTGATTGTTCTTTGTCCCATAGCTATTCAGTGTGAGCTGCATTCAGTCCCTCAGGCTATTGCCAGGACCAAGACAAGTGGGATTTAAACTTATATATTCATTTCTCCCAGCTGTAGTTTCTCCAGACTTTTTATTCTGATGTGGGCTCCAAGAACACACATAGATTGACCCAATTGACAAGAATAATGTGTTTAAAGTTCATTTATTTTCTGCTATTATGCCAATATTTGGTGCTCAAAACTTTAAATCCAAACAGCAGAGCTTTCATTTCCCTGTCTCTGATCACACTGATCTTACTGCTGGTGCTTGTTTTGAGTAGGCACCTTTATGAGATCTCTGCTCCACTAATTCGCAGATACATTTTGAAAGCAGTGGAACTCTCCTGTATTTATAGCAATAAGGAGCTCCTGGCTCATTTCTCATCCTGTGTTTATTGCCTCAATAGCATTTCACCTGGGGAATCCTGGGTTGCAATGGAAAAAATATGTGATGGTCTTATACTAGTCCTACAGCTGTCCTCCCCCTCAAACCATGTACATTTGTCAGGGCCAGCTGACCTTGTTACTGGCTCCCATCAGCTTCCTGTGGGTCCTACTGCCCCTGGTTTGTGTCATCTTTAACAGGCAGTCAGGAGCAGATAAATATTAATTTTCTAAATTTTTAGGGGCCCCACGGGCCAGATAAAATGGCCTGGCAGGCCATATTTTGCCCACCCCTGCCCTATACCAAGGGTTTCCATTATTTTGTCATTATGCTAATAGGTCTGAGAAACCTTTCAACTCAGTGGGTTTTGGAGATAGCTAGACAGGCTGTTTTCCTTAATTCTTCTAAGTAGAACTTCTTTAATAGAAAGTCACTCACAGGAGAAAATTGTCTGCCCCCAAATGTCCCCAGTTAAACCTTTTTTCTGTCAGTTTTCCTGAGGATGTCATCATTACCACCCCACACCTGTACACACTGTGACAGATGCTGTGGAATTACCACGAATGGAGCTACTCTTAACTAAACTAGGTACATGCCTATGAGAAAATGCTTAGGAAAAATTAAGACAAGGTTCTTTGGGTGAATCTGATATCTTTTATTAGACCAACTTAAATAGTTGGAAAAACAATTATTAAGCAAGGTTTCGGGTTCAAAAACCTTTCATCAGGCTAAGGAAGGAAAAATGAAGACAAGATTCTTTGGGTGGTAAATACATCATCATCATCTGGACTGAAAACCGACAATCTCTGATTAAGTTTCATCAGAAATTCAACAATCACCATCCCTCCAGCCAACTTTCTCTAAAATACTGCAGCACCAACATCTCCTTTTTAGACATGATAATCAGTATCCAGAATGATAAAATACAGACCACGTTATACAAGAAACC